TATTCATCTTAGTTTGCGCAGCCAGCGATATATTTATTAGGTATGGAATTTAGAAAAAACTGTCTGAGAGCAAGCGATATCAATAATCATGTGAAATGTATGCGATACAAAAATTCAGCGAAGTCGTTGTTGTAAAAAATATTATAATAATTTACAGTTTCATTATTTTTTATTTATTTTACGATTAGAAAATTTTCGAAAAACTTTTTAGTCACAAATATTTTTTTCCTTAACTTGAGATGACCAAAAAGAAAAACGATTATCGAAGATATCTTCTTAGATTTTTGCTCTATTCATTAAATAATATCTTTTTTATAAATGCTCTTAATTCTTATGATTCTTTCCTCATAAGTTTTGCAAAAATGTAAATAAGAGAATAATCTCGATAATTTTAAATTGACTACTGTAGAAAGCTAGCCTTAAAGTCTCTTTAGAAATTTTACTTTTAAAAAAGAAACTGTCACAAAGGTATAAGAAAGTAAATATTGTAAGAGATCTTGAAAAGTTCTTTTATGCATCCAAAGGTTAATACAGTAATTTCATAAAAAAAATACGATCAGTTTACTTCGTGACCGGAACATCTCACTGCTTTAGAATCTCGTGAATTTTATCTTCCGCTAAGATTATCTCTTCGAAGTAACCTCGGAAGAAGTAACCGCGGGTAAGTATAGTACGGATACGTAATAATCCGCTTGATTTAAACTCGACCCTCTTTAAATACCATTTGAATTGCCGTGAGCGGCATCGTTCAGGAATCTCTATTAATGCGTCGCGCCGCGCCTCTTCTCTCCGTTTCACAGACCATTGCGGATGAAGTGCACGCGGCGCATTTGAGACACGCCGCGTAGTCTGGTATTTCAGTGCCAGGCCATGTAATTTTCCGAGTGTAGAAGCGCGATCCGCGTTCGCGTGAAATTGGAAAAGGGCCTCGTCCCGTCGGAGTCTCTCCATTTGGCGAAGCGTAGCGGCGACCAGACGATAGACCCGGGAACCGTCTGGTAGTCCTTGAACGGCCCTTTAACTGGCTGCATTGCAGTCAAGGTTATCATCCTCATCTCTCCGTGATGTGGAACGGTGCCTCCCCGAGGGAACGAATGAATAGAAACGCGGATTCGCTACTTCGCCAAGGTCGCCCTTGTCTGGCAGCAAGAATTGCACTCCGGTGCATCACGCGCGAATACATATTTCTTCGTCAATCCTGTAGCGACTAAAATAGATGAAAATTGATAAATGATGTGATAAGATATGTGTGATATTTATCTATTATATTAATTTAGGATAATACAAAATATGAAGCTGTAATATCAATGATGTCGACGAAATCAAACTTTATCGATTGTGTTATCACTGGTGAAATTAGAATAAGCATCTTATTGGACTGTACATGTGAAAATACAATAAAAAAACATAACCAATAAGTAATAAAGGCTTATAAAGATTTTCATGTGAATTTGTATATACTATACATGTGCATACTATATACTGTATTTGTAGTCATGTGGTGAAATTAGTACGATTGTTACATGGTATATTATGAGAATGAAATAGGCGTTGAAGATATAAATTCACAAGTTTAACGATAAATCGTTTATGGAATATGACAAAACCATAATAAATGATCCGATAAACTATTAATGAATACGACCGGCAAACGAGAATCGATGACTGCGGCGGGTCTGTTAAAGCGGAGATGCGGCGATACTAGCAATGCAAAATTGCGCTCGCTTTCCGTGACTAAATAATAGTCCGAGGAATACAACTTCGCCATCTGCGTTAGCACAATCGTGACTATCGGCTGCAGGTAGCATTCCTTATCATTACGTCTAATAAACATTATCCACGGTTCCATCGAGAATGATTCCGCGACGCGGCTGGGAGAAGTGAAGAAGAGGTGGCACGTCCCAACCCAGAAGGAAAGCTACCTCAGAGTGAAAGAGAGGTGAAAGAAAGAGTGAGATCAAGCGGCGGCGGGCGTGGACGATCGAAGGAGAAAAGAGAGATAGAGAGGGAGATTGCGCCGGAATAAAACGATACAGGAGAGACTGAGAGAGAAAGAGAGAAAGAGGAAGCACAGGGGAAGAACGAAACACCGTTTGGAAACGAGCTATGAAAAATCAAGATGAGATTTAAATTTCGCTTGAATATACATTTCATTGAATTGTTTGAATACTCCGCCTGCGTGTGCATTATGCACGCATCTATTCACGCATGCACATCTACAGTGTGTTTCGGAAGAATACCAGGCTATTGAGAGTTTAATGATCATAATAGCGATTTGAAATTCGAATACATGATTGTATTATTAGAAATGATACATTTGATGTCATGTTGTATCAACGTGATAAATGCTGTACCAAGTGATATGACAAAGGTTTTTTTTTTGTTTGAGAAGACTGCTTGTCATTTAATTCTTGTACATATTTGGTTCATATAAAAATGATATTGTATGGGTTTTATTAAATCTAAAGCTCATTCTACAATTGTTTAAACGTAGTTGTAGAATTTTCCAATCACAATCGAATATTCTCCTCATATTTGACTGTAATTGGTCAACTCTTACAACTACACCACTTACAACAACTCTTACGCAATTGTAGAAGGGACTTAAGTTCGAACAATTTTCCAATTCGTGAATCATGCTACGTTTCTTCATGGCATACACAATATATCGCGTAATAGAGGTACGAGAGAGATGTGTTCAAAGCGCGTCGGTTGGATCATTTATTTATCTTCCCATTCTCCCGACGCGCGTTACTAATTAGCCGTGATTGCGATAAAGTATCGATACATCAAAAGCATACCTGCTGTACACGTGCATAGATACGCGAATCCCTTTCAACCCGGGATGCTACTCGCGTGCGTGGATTTCGTATTGTTACCGCATTGTTGCCCGATAGTCGCTACGACTGGTACACGCTCGCGGATAAATCTGATTTGCCGTTCGTGATGTTCCTACCTGCATATCATGGCAAGCGCGTAGTTTACGAAACGAAAAGGAAGGGTTCGTTCGCGCGCGTTACCTGCACCCGGGAGAGGACTAAATTACGAGCTTGTCGGTCTCTGTTAGCTCGCCGTCCCAGCCGGGTACCACCCCAAGCTGGTATTAAACCGAACAGTACATCCGGTGCGTATGTACACCCACGATTGCGGCATGCTTCCGAGTGGACCGATCGAATGGCGATTCTGCGGCAACGCCCGGGGCTCCTCAACGGGTCCGTTGGACACACGGAGATTGTACACAGGGGTTGCGTGTCGCGGGGGTGGTTTAACACGGGGATGGGTAATGGCGACTCCTATCAGCCCTATACACTCTGTCCCGCTCCCCCTCGGCGATGTTTCTCCGATCCCCCCTTTCCTCTGTCTCCCCGTTGTCGTATCGTTGAATTTGAATCTCTCATTATCCTCGAGATACCTCTTCATTTATATTTAGAACATCATGAACGTAATTCGCAATGTATCTTTTATTTTCGCTGCATCTTTATCGAGCTAATGTAATAAGTATTTACTTTTTCTGTTGTAATTTCAAATGGAATTATTTAAATTTATCATGTAATATTATATTTGTAGCTGAGGGAAACATATATGTATTATCATTAAATATGAACACAGATTATAGGAATTGGAGAAAAGAGATTTGTGTATTTGTAATTATATTCGTAAATAATGAAATGTATGTATTATACATTAAGTATAATTATATATATATATATATATAAATATTGCTCGAACTTTCAATTGCAAAAATGTTTTTACTCGATATTTAAATATAAAATTTAGGAATGATGTGATATAAAAATGCAAAACAAAAAAGTTAAACTAAAGAACAAGATTTTAATTTTATATTTTGAATGAATATTTTTGAACAACAGTATTAGATAGAAATGGAAATGAAAATGCATTCGCACATTCAATGATAAAAAAATGAGATTTTAAGCAAAATATCTACAGAAAACAGAGATTAATTTACGTTTAACTTAACCATGTTATTAGTTTTCTTTTTCTATTCTTACATTAATCTATTAATTTTTCTTATGTCTTCAATAAGTTTTCTTTGAAGTCTATTCCACTTTTTAATGTGGATAAATATTTTTCTCTTCTCCTTCATATCCATGTCGTTCCTTATCTTTTCAATGGTACCCGATCTCTCATCACATGTTGTTAAGAGAAGAAGAGGAAGGGTAGAGGAAGGAACAACGATCCCGGTAATTTACGTCGATAGTGGCTGAACTGAATGGCCAACCACTTTACATATTGGATACTTGCACAACTCGCAGTTTAGCGCTGTCTTCGATGAATATCCTGCAGCCGGCCGCTGCAGTTGGCCGCCGGAAATAGCCTCCGTTCCGGAATTTCATTATCCCTTGTCGTTGATGTCTGATATTTCGTCCGGCTCCGCGATGGAATTCAAAAATTCTGCCAATTCCAGGACATTTTCATCTAGCCTCTTTGGTAATTTCATCGACTTCCGGAAGAATTGTCGCGCTCGTGGCTTTGCTCATTGATCCCTCGACGTGGCGAGTATCGTTTCAAACCGCTATCAGTATTTCCGCAATTTTGCATACATAGTGGTACAATTTTTTATGAACTGATATCGTTGCTCCTCTTCTTTTCTTATTACATCGTAATCGTAGAAATTCTGTTTTAATTTTAATAAAAAGTTAAAAGGAACATTCACGAATCAATTAAAATTGATATCAGAACAAAATATCCCGGCGACCAAAATTTTTTGGTAAAATTTATCGAAAATAAAACTAGCAAAGTGTGAGGTTATAAAATGATCATAAAGCAATTAAGAAAAAAATTCGAGAGTTGCGGTAATAGAGGAATTTTTATGAGTATATAGTCGACACGAAATCCACAATCTCAATTAATCCGAGATAATAACCGATAACCGATAACGGACAAAGCTACAATGAAGGCTCTGCCCTGCCACGGTCCGATAACGAATTTTTCTATACTTCGCAATTGACAGCGACAGACAATCTGTGGGTAGCGGCTAAATGATGAACCTTCGTGAATCGTGGAGAATAATGCGGGCTATGTTATTAATGTATCTATTAGTGCTTCTGACGATTCCGTGTTTCGTTCACAGTAAGTGTAAAAAGAGAAGAGATTACATGCATCTCGAGCTCAAAACTGATTTCGTGAATAACAAAAAAGTGTAACGCGTGTGTTTCTGATTATTGCTGTTTGTTTTTGAAACCGGAGAGATTCAGGATGTGGGCAACAGGCAATTTTGCATGATACATTAGTATGCATTATTGAATTGAAATACGTGCGTCGTGCGCTCGCAAGAGCGGAGTTGATAGAACATTAATCACGCTTGGATAAAATTGCGATGGTTAATTAGTTTTTCATTAAGCTCACTGATAATTATCGTGCAAATCGTGTACGCTTCGAAAAATAATTTTTACATTCGTGACAAATAATGCGAATACCTAATTCATTGTTCAATTCATTATTCATGTTACAATAACTCCGAGTCGCTATAAATTTCGCTCTTCTCGATAAATCCATTTTTTCATGTAATTTAGATTTTATCTTGCGACAGCACGAAATAATATGCACCATCAACGATAATGACGATTATAATTTGTATATCAAGGCTCGCCAACTGACCTTTCTATTTCTTCTGGAATAAGCCTGCAGTCTATTGGATTACCTAGTCGCATAATTAATGGTACAAAGGCTGCTTTAAAGCAATTCCCTCATCAGGTAATATTTTTTGGTAATTTTAATTTAACGTGTATCTGAGAAGAATATTATTTTTAGGTATCTTTAATGCGCAGTTGGAACAAAAAACATTTTTGCGGTGGAAATTTGATTAGCGCCTCTCTAGTCTTAACTGCAGGTCACTGCGTGTACGGGTAAGTCAATTATTTCAACTAGATATCTTGATCATTATTGACAACAGACATCTTAAATGGAATTGTAAATCTCGTTACTTTAACTGTTGCTAACGTTGCGTCTTTAATTTCTAGAAAATGTTTGCGATAAATTAATTAACGATATCTCACTGATCTCTAATGTATTTTGATCAACATTATCTATGTTATCTTTTTGGAAAATGATTCTTTACATGAAATATCGATAAACTAATTAATTTACATTATACATAGAAGTACATAAAAAGCACTCAAAAAGAATGTCTATGTCTATAATTAAATTAAACTAAATCATTACTAAATAGAAATAAACGGAGCTATTAATTACATAGAAACGTTATACTACCATGGACAATTATTGTGGTTGGAGGAGTAATAAAGCTGTACGAAACTTCGAAGCGACAAGAAAAAGGCGTAGAGAATATCAGAATTCATCCAAAGTTCAATTTAGAAAATTTGTATAATGACGTTGCCGTTTTGAAAGTACAATGATAAAACAATTTTATCAATCAACCGTTATTTACCGCATTTTCAGAATAAAGGCAATTTATATCTTTTTTAGTTATCGACACCCTTTACGTTTACTCCAGGAGTTCGTAGTATACCTTTGTCAGGACGCCCACCGGTACCTAATACTATTTGCCAAATAGCTGGTTGGGGTTACACGATAGTCGTGAGTATATAGCGAAATACTTTGACCACAGGAAAATTTGTTTCAACTAAAGAACCACTAAAAAACGTTTGAAATATTTCAGGGAGTCCCGAGAGTGTCTTCCGATTTGATGTACGTTGATCTACCTATTCGAAGCAAAAAAGAATGTCGCAAACTGCTCAAAAACGTAACGGATCTACCACCGGGAATGTTTTGTGCCGGTTATTTAGAGGGTGGAAGGGATGCTTGCCAAGTAACGTATTCTCTTAGTCATTTATGTCTACACGGAGAAAATTTTATATTTAAAATTACTATAATGTGGTAGAAGTTGTGGACCATCATGTAATTATAAGTTTAAATGCTTGTAGCCATTTTTTTAAAAACAATAATATAACGTAATTTTTACACTTTTTCATAGTAAAAATTTTTTATTACAAAATCAAAACTTGTTGAATAAAAGTTAGTATTGTAAAGATAATAAAAAATATATACCTAGCAAATTTTGTTTGCGTACCATAGTAAAAATTTTCATGGTTTAAGCACTGGTTTAACAAAAATTTTTTATTTATGTGATAAAATTAGCATTACCATAGTAAAAATTATGTCGGAACATTGTTGTAATGGTCCATTTGAAAATAGACATAGTAAAACGTAATTTAAAATTGTATTAAAACTTAATATAAAATTTTCTCCGTGTTTATTTACGTATATATACAGTCATAACAATGTGATTTATGAATTGCCGATATTACGATTTTTCAAATCTTTCAGGGTGATTCTGGAGGCGGAATGGTCTGCAATGGTATTCTGACCGGTATTGTTTCCGGTGGCCAAGAGTGTGCTGAACCACTATTACCTGGGGTATACACAGATGTTTTTCATTATTTGGACTGGATATTAAATGACACAAATGTAATGAAAATCGGAAATGAAAATTATCACGCCGGCGCTGAAAATTACAACGCGTCAAAGATGATCGCGATACTTTCCTTTCTTTTTTGTACTGTTATCAATTACATCTAGATCTTGAAGTTGAGACAAACAGAGAAATTCCCTCTGTTGACACATGTTAATATGTATATTTGAAAATATTATTAAACAAAGGATAGTTTTATGAGTAATGTGATAATACTAGAGTTTACAAGCGTATTTATAATGCTGCTGTGTAGCAATATACAATTTTGATGAGTGAAATATCTTGTGAAACAGGTAAAGTTTAAAATTAATAAAATAAATACTTTTATGATTGAAATAATTGCGTTTAGAGATTTAAATAAATATCGTATTATAATTTTTTTAATTATAAATTATTCTCCATTAATTATTTATTTTGATAGTTGATGAAGTTTGCTGCATTTGCTTTTACAATACTTATTTACATCTTAAAAAATTAATTTTAAATAATCATGCAGAAATATTTAAGATTTGTTGGTTTATAATGTTAGGACTTCATCTTAAAAAATTTATTGTTAATTTAATTTATTTCATCTTTCATTTTTAATTGTTTTGACAGAGCTATGCACTTTGAAGCATATTTGAAAATTTCTGTGATACTTGAACAGTAATACTTCGGATAAGCCATCAACCATGAAATTGTCGATATCTCTGATAATAAAACAGAACATATTTAATCTTACTGCATATATTTGTTAATCTTATCGGGAGAAATTATCTTATTTGTTCTATAAATATACACATAATTAGTAAAGTAATAAAATTTAGCAAATAAGTCTTATTATTTTAATTGAAACAATAAAAAATAAGATAAAAAGAAATCATAATTTATTTTAACCCTTGAACACCACACTTTTCGCCACCTGATTTCACATGGGTTACGGTAACCCTGAGTCTTCTTTTGCTTTTATCCCGAGATCTAATACATCAATTGTAACTTTTTTTTTTAATCGATACAACAGATAGTAAGGAAAAAGAATATATAGATAAGAATATCATAAAACTTCCGGTAAGCAAGATATTTTGAAAAAAAAGAAAAAAGAAATTTTTAAATTAAAAAAAAATCATTTTTTCAAACGGACTGGGTTATCGTAACCCAATGTGGTGTTCAAGGGTTAAACGTCTCTTTAACATATATTTTTATTAAAATTTAATAAATAATATTTTAATTTTTTGTCTATAAATCATTATTATATTGCAAAATTTATTTCCTTAAATCATCAATTATCCACAATGCAGCAAACATATTAAATGTAGCGTGTTGAATTTATAACTGATAACATTATTAATTGCTTAATGATCTCTAATGCAATTAACGAGTTTAATATCTCCTCTATTTGTATTTTTTTTTATACACAGAAATGTATGATGTATACATAGAGATATGTGTTATCAAGATATGTGTAAGCAATAAATCTTATAACTTATAAATTTTTTAACTTTTCATCTTTCCTAACATGAACACACTGTAAAGAATATTTATCGATTCATCTTTTTTACAGAACACATGTATATTCTGTTAGATATGAAAGGATTAATGATTTTTCATAGCTTTCTGAGCGAAGAGATGGGAAGAAAAAGAAAAGAAAGAGAAGAAAGGCGGAGAAAGGATAAAGGAACAGACGATGTATCCACTTTGATCTCAAACAGCAAGCAGCAGACGCGCAAAAAGCTCATATTCCACTTAATACACGGCGAATGATACCTCGAGAAATGTATTAGCAGATTGCTCGCTGCCAAGATAGGGAAACGTCCACGGTGTATTCGCGAATCGTGCGACTCCTTTGCCGCGTCTGCTGATTTTGCTGCACCAGTATTAAATTCTGTGAGCGAGACCAGTACCTTCAAAGAAATGTGAGGACTCTTGGCGGCTCTTTTAGATCGGATATAAATTTCGCGCGCGTAATATTTGTGTATGCGTACGGAGCGGATTATGGAAATTGAATTGCCTTCGTCTAATTAAAAGAAAACGCCGATGTAATTATTCGACAAAATTGATCGTCCTTTTTTAAAAAATGTTTTTTTTAAGTGCTGAAATTAAAGATAAAAATCTGTTTTCATGAAAATTCCTAAAAAGTCGCGTTAAGAATAACTTGTGCTAAATCTTTGAATGTTATTGTTCGTTTTTTCTATGACATTTTCTATGAAATTTCTATGACAGATTATAGATATTTAAAAGTGATAAGGTAATTGAGTTAAATAATAACAGTAGTCAATTTCATCTGACTGTTCTCCAATATTCTAGGCGATTATATGATATAAAATAGAAAACTGCACGGAATTTGCTGTAAGATCTAAAATTTTGTTGAAGATTTGGAAATAATTTTGGAAACAGATTACTAAAATATCAAAATTATTTAAAACTTTTTAATAAGCAAAATTTTTTTGCATATTAATTTTTTAGTTTCATACATAATTATTTTGATATTACAAGAAAATTATTTTCAAATCTATATCCAGCAAAATTTTAGAGTTTTCAGTAAAATTATCCTTTTTGTATTGTTCAAATTAAAATTGTATCTCGTATAACTGCGAACGCATTCCAGAATGCAAAATAGCGCATCTTATTATGTCCTCGTAGAAGATGCATTTTAATCGGCGCATAGTATTGACCGTGCTCTCATACGAAAATTCGACTTCTTCTGGCTCGCGTGATCGTAATCTTCCAAGACAGGCTTCCGTTTCCGAAAGTTAATCCGCACGGAAACCCGAGACGTTCTCTTCGCAGGGATTTCAGGGCCGCGTAGGCTCGCGATCGATGCCCGTGAAGCGATCGTGGGTGTGCGAAGGAGAGATGGGAGACGAGATACAGGGAGAGGAAAATAAAGTATAAAATCAGGAGACGGATGAGTCGCAAAAGTGGGAAGTGAAGGAGGATAACGGGGAGGAAAGAGGTCGTGAGTGAAAACTGCCGCGCGTTTCACCTGATAAACGTAACTTCTGATACGTGTGCCCCTCAGGCTTCGATTTTTTTTTTTTAAGTTAAGAACGTTTTTCACGGCCTCTCCGATGCCCTTGCGGCTTTCAGCTCCGTTGCTCCCTCGTCGGCGAATGGAATGAGGGGAACGAATATGTTTGCGTGTCGACAGGGTCCATTTGCAATCCTCAGTATATATAATTTCGGGATCCAATAAGAATTCATTAAAGGATATACAGAATCTAAACTCGCTCCCCCGCGCAGGGAAAGATTCTTTTCATCTCTCCTTCTCTCTTTGCCATCGAGGGTTTTAAATAAATTAAAAGTTTGCGTTTTCTACGGGGACGAGTAATTTCACCGCGCACCCAAACGCGACCGGCGACAGCGAACTAAATTCGCAAGGTGGGGCTGCCGACGATAAAGTTCCCTCTAATTACTCGTAGAATCAGGGATGGTGGGAGGGTAAATTCGGAAGAGGGAGAACGTTGGTGGACTACTCAAGAAACGGAGTCCCGCTCTTCTCAAGTGATTTAAAAGAAAGAAGCGCCCATATTCGTTACTTCGACATCGAACTTCGCGAAGAAAAACGGAGGCGAAGGCGCGTGTTCTTCTGACGGAGGCGTTTATTAATGATACGTTCGATGGATTCGTGGGTATTATGTGGGCGAATTCATTATACTAATTGCACATCCGTCCTGTATCCGGTCGCGCGTGGGCACTTTCGTTCGAAAGTGCAATGGCAAAGTTCGTTCAATGAGAAAGATGCGTTCCTCATGAGACGTCTTCCTCATATAAAATCGATTTCTTGTAGAATGGATCCTGTATTATTACATAACTCATCAGAATTACCTAGTTAGTGCGCACTACTCGCGCGTTCAAATGTTTCTAAAATACATTGTATTGTGTGAAGAGATTCACATTTATATATAATTGAAACTTCAATATCTCTTTTTTTAATACCAGTATCGTAAAATGGAATAACTTTTGTCTGCAGTTAGGATAATTTTGACTCAAATTAAAAAAAATACTTAGTCAGCATGTTCAAAATTAAGATATAAGACATCTTAAAACATCTTTAAAGAATGTTCTTAAGACTTCTTGTATCCCGATTTTAAAACGTGCTAGGTATTATCAAAATTCGCGCCAAAGTTATCCCATTTCAACGCAAGTGGATTAATCAAGATTGTTAGACGCTAATTGTTAGACGTAGACAATGCGGAAGGTCGCTTTCCTGATCAAGAATGATTTTATGACGCATTTGAAGCTGCGAAACGGTGGAAAGAGCAGCTTGGAAACTGCTTGAAGACACACGAGGAAGTCGTTTCCTGAAAATGTGACTGGAAATTCCGACACTATCTTCTACAACGAAGTAAGCAATGGTTGAGTTTGCCATCTAAGAGACACACTATTGTGATTTTAATTTTTACAATTATCTTCGCGCTCGAATTCTTGTAATTCGGAAATAAATTTTTAAATAATGTAATAGATGTTCACACTTCCAGTTAATTACGTATAAAATATATAATTCCACTTGCACGGTAAAAAAAACACTTATTTAAAAACGATTTAAAAAATCGATTATTAAATATCCTACATTAAGTATATCCTGCATCTTGAGTTTAAGGAAACGAAAAGTAACGAGAACGTTCAATATCACGATTGCTTCATTAATTACGTCTATATCTTTCTCATTTGCAATCTGACTTTCACTTTTGGCGTACCTTCATTATTCAAACGAGATAAATCCTCGTTCACAGTAATGTTACGTAGTTGATGTCGGTGACCATCAACTTTACGAAGAAAGATGAAAGAAACGCATTTAAATGCGTCCCGCCTGCGGTAGCATTCCCTCGTTTCTCCATATCCATGGTGAATGTCGACCGACTAATTAATTAAATGTAAACGCGACGAACTACGTTTTCTCTTTTACATCCGTTTCAGACAGTTCCGTCCTTCCCTTCTCTCTCTCTCTCTCTCTCAGTGTTTTCCCTTCTGGTTTTGCCCCGTTCCATTTTATCTATCCTTCTCCTTATTTCCTTATCATTCCTTTCTACACAAGATCGTCCGTCTCAGTAGTAGAGTTCCCGGGAATTTCCCGAGTTGCTTATTTGCGTTTACCTAAGAGTCACGTTTTCTTCGACGCGATGCAGACGGCTAATTGGCTGCTTTTCCACGTTAAATGC